CCCAAGATTAATTCCGCTTCAACCTCGCGCGCGGCCTTCCTCGAAGAACCATAATTAACCACTTAAGCGATTACAACGGATCCCAACGTAACGTTTTACACGTTTTCTGACGATGAGTGCAACGAATCTTTCCCTTCCCCTTCCTGACTCGCGTGTACTCTCGCATATATAGATACATAACGTATAACGTATATACGAAAGTGATTCACGGATGCCACGACAATAGGACTCGGTCAATGGAATCTATAGGTCTCTCTGTGGGGCGATATGTATAATTAATGAACGCCAACTCCATTTCTATGTCTCTAGAGGCGTAATGTAACAGAGCGTAATGTAACAGACGAGATCAGAAAATTGAAAATTGAAATTTGAGTTTGCGACTACTTTTGGATTATTTCGATTGTTTCCATTGCGATATAAGCGATAAAACGCGAGGTATTTTTAAGAGCCGAAGTTTCTGGCCAGACGTTCGATAATCACGCTCTCCAGACGGTCGTGTCGTAATCATGCCTGCAACATCTCAAACACAGGACACGCCAGGAGACGTACGGCCACGTTGACTCATTAAAATGTTTTGGCAACAGCGTGACAGCGTGCACAGTAGCGCGACATCGATTTGTCAGTGACCAAAGTCTGGCAGGGAAGAGGAAGAGCTGGCCAAGGGGACGTTAGGCACGCACTTCATGGTATTGTATATACGTTACTGACACGTCGAGGCGATTTGTTCCGAACGAAATCTGTCACTAGCAAACTCTGTTCGACTTCCGACTTTCTTTTTTTTTTTATAACTGACAAATTGAAGTAGACCTTTCTGAACTGTGGAAATACCTTGAAAACTTTATGGCATTGTTGTTACACTACGTTGTTATAAGAAAAATAAGAAAAATTAATATACTACACTATATTATTATTATATATTTATAGTATATTATTATTATTTTTTTTTTATTATTAGTAGTAGTATATTATATATATATTATATATATATATATATATATATATATATATTATTCTCTCTCTACTCTACTCTCTCTCTCTCTCTCTCTCTCCTCTCTCGCTTCTCTCACATCCTGAATTATCCAAGTGTCGTTGTCGACGCCTCCGGCGTTCGCGATTATTGCGGCAAAGTGTGGGCAATAAGGCCATCGTCGTCGTCATCGCCGCCGCCGCTGCCGACGACGACGATGTCGACGACGATGTCGACGACGATGTCGACGTCGACGTCGACGGCGACGACAGAGAAGAAGAACCTTTCGAACGGTGACGAGGTGCAACGTAATGCGGCGTAATGGCGAGGAAATTAATAGGAGCGCCGTGGCTAGAACGCGGACAGCTATACGCCGGGAATCCGAGTCACATATTTTCCGCAGCCGACACAGAGCGTGCGCGCACACACAGGCGCGATTATCATCGGACCGTGAAAGCGGCTACGAGAGTAGGCACTTATCGCGCCGCGATCGAATTCAAATGACGAAATGATTAATCTAAGCGCGCGCGAGGCAGCGCAAGATACCTGGCGCTGCGACGTTGTGACGCGACATCGAGCTAAGCCCAGGCGCGGATACCATTAGGAAATGTCGCGCCGTTGAAAGTTCATTATTTAATTCCTTCATATGCCCGCGGCGATCAATCGCCGGCAACGGTCAACTATGACATTCCCGCGTCGCATATAGCCTACTTAGGTGAAATTATTTCCAACGATAGATTACGTCGTGTTATTTCTGATGCGATATGGATTATCGGTACGTGATTTCAAACCAGAGCGTTTCTACACACACACACACACACACACACACACACACACACACACACACACACACACACACACACACACACACACACACACACACACACACACACACACACACACACACACACACACACACACACACACACACACACACACACACACACACACACACACACACACACACACACACACACACACACACACACACACACACACACACACACACACACACACACACACACACACACACACACACACACACACACACACACACACACACACACACACACACACACACACACACACACACACACACACACACACACACACACACACACACACACACACACACACACACACACACACACACACACACACACACACACGACGCGTCGATATAATATACGGATATTTCGAGAGAAAATGGTGCATTTTTTTTACGGAAAACCTAACAATGTTTTGTAATATGACGGGTTGTAAAATTAAAATTACGTTACGTTTAACCGTACCCCGAATGTTTTTTACGGATTATTTCCATTTAAATAGATCTCTAACCTAAGCTGTTTACCACGACGCAACGAAATGATGTCTCGATCCCGTTGACTTGGTAGGATTACGGGAGAGGCTAACGAATAATTAAGCGACGAAATTGGCGCGTCGATACGATTTCCCGCGTCTTTCGCGAAATATCAAGAGCTAACTTTCCGCATCCGAAAAATGATCCGTCATAAATTTGTCAATACGTTTTCGCGCAAACCAGGACAAGGATGCACAAATTGGAGAAACTGGCGAACGTAAGCAAAGTAAGCGCGACTTACGCGACAATACGGTAAAAAGTATTATATGTACCAATGGTAAAAACAAAGAGAGAAGCGGAGAGTTGAAAATGAGAGAGTTAGCAAAAGATAGAAGGGACTTACCGAAAACGGGACTGAGGTCCGATCTCGCCGAAGTTTTTCCCGTCGTCGCGTAGGTCCCACCGGCGAGAGTGCCCTTTTCCTGCAACACACATGCACCCACTTAATGTCTCGCGTTCCACGGCCTATATGTGATATATTTAGGAGGGTATACAAAAAAGATGTCGCGCGGAAAAAAACACGAAACACAATGGAGAAAAAGGGAAACGCGAAGTGTCGGTGGGTGATGAAGAGATTATTCGCACCTCGGACTCCGTGAGATCAATGAGATCGCTCTTGTCCTCGGTGAGGTTCTCCGAGGACCTCTTCTCCTCCTCGCCCTCATCCTTGAAAACCTTGACCTCGTCTTCGCTACCGAGATCGTCGCCGCCGCCGCTGCTGCTCACGTGCGGCATTATTGCGGGCACGCGCGAGCGACGGCCACCGTCTTCTCTGTCCTCTTTCTCGTGCTCTTTACGCCAATCGATTCGGGAGATTCGTCTCCGTCACAAGGCGATATCACTCACTCACACGGGAAGGCGAGGAATTCTAAGATTCCCAGTCGAATGCGTTGTCCGTCGCCGTCGGCGATAGTTTCGGCGTATGCTGGCCGACGGAGCGATTCGTTAGCACTTTTCTTTTTAAGACTGATTCACTGTTCACATTCGACTCGGGTCTCACTGAACGAGCGTACGTTGCCGCCTTACGTACTCAGAGGCAACTCGCTCTAACACACAACCATGTGTGGCGTCGATCGTCACTGTCGTCACCATGCACCGTCGCATTCGCCGATCTCGTCGCTGACAGTTGAACAACGCGAGAGGTTAGGCCACACTATTTGACTCGAAAGAGACAAAGAACCGGCAACTCTGCTCTTCTCGCTACTTTGCGTATCCGTCGGCGCGACAGTCAAACCGGCGAGTCAAAATGACAAACGCGCACTTGAGTCAGAAAATTCCGCGCGCGGAGAGACGTGCAGCGTCTCGGCGTCTCGCGTCTCGCCGACGGAACGAGACGGCCGGCGCGCCTTTCGCGACACCGCCCGTGCTTTCGCGCGCGCGAGTTAATTCCGGTCGTCGGCGTCGCGTTGTCGGAGAGAGAGAGAGAGAGAGAGAGAGAGAGAGAGAGAGATATATGCCGTGGGAAGGTCGCCGCTACTGTAGGAGTAGGAGGAGGGCGTGAAACAGCGTAGGAAGATAGGAGAGAGAGAGAGAGAAAGAAAGAGAACCGAAGAGAAAGAGAGGAAGAGAGAAAGAGATAATGACAGAAAGATAGAGAAGCGTGAGGAAGAAGCTGCGCGGCAGATAGAGGTAAGTGATGTATAGAAGGCAGGCCGTGACGTATTAATGCGCAGAGTTTACAGCGGAGCGAGGCGCGCGTTGTTCTTCCTCCACTCGCTCCCGGTTCTCTCTCTTGACGTTAGCTGCGGGTGGACCTCTCAGTGCGCGCACCGCGAGCCCGGTTTGCACGTAGCATATCCGCACAGGGCCGGTGGCCACGACGTTTTTGCGAGCGCGCGACACTGCGATTCCATAAACGGGCCCGTGCGATGTACACGACGCGCGACGATTGCGGCACCACAACTACGGCACTCTTGTTGTTGTTGTTGTGAACGGTGCACGCGCCGAGCGGTCATCGTGCCCGTATGTGTAACGAGCAATGTTCGAGAGATTGCGTGTCGTTCCCGCGCGTATATCTATATCTCGCCCCGCGACTCCGAATACCTCGATACGGTCTACTTGGATGCTCCGTGCCGACTGCCGGCGACGGTGAGCTCGGGCGGGCGGCTCTCCCACGCGACGACCAATCACGACGTCGGATTCACCGCGGCGGTTTCCCTCGCCGACGCGCCACCTCGCTCCCCCGCGACGCCTCGCTCAGCCAGTCATGGCAGGCAAGGCGGCGAACCGATCCTACCCGAGAGAATACGATTTCGTCCGAACGCGTGCACCGGCGCCGTCTCTCGTCTCTGCCGTCGTCTCCGCCACCGCCGCCACCGCCGCCGCCGCCGCCGCCAACGCGAGTATGTGTCGTCGTTGTCGTTGTTCTCATCGTGCCTCTTGTTTGATGAAAGAACCGCGCTTCTCCTACCGCGGACGACGTCCGACGATGCGTCTATGCCTCCTAATTATCTGAGTTTATCTCATCTGATAAAGATAAGAAAATCCAAGCGATCTTCTTAAATTATTCTTAAGCTTTATGCGATTGCAAGATATACACATACATCCACGCGCGCACACATATTTGTCATCGTAACGGTCAATTACGCCTGTAAATGACACCGATTAGCGCATTTATTCGCTAAACGAATCGCTGCATTTTTTTCTCATTGTTAGTCAAATTTTCATTCTTTTATTTTGCAACATCTTATCAGAGATCGAAAAATTTATCAAATATATATATTCGTTAAATAAAAAAGCGTCAGTGTCGGCATGAATTATATCATCCAACGAGACATGTACGCGAATGTGGACAACTTATGTGAAGCCATTAGAGCAGGTGTACGCGCGTGATTTCTTCATAGAACGAAAGAACATAGTAATTTATGATAATTTATGTGTCCGCTACACCGCCCATTACAACCAATTTTAGCATTTAATTAATGTATTGTCAAAAGCATATCTTTACTCTTCTTGAACAAACTCCTGAACAAACAAATAAAGGGTAATTTTTTGTTATCCAATATAAATGCTTGTCTCGTAAAAATTATATGTTGCTATTGAGATTGAATTTCGTATAAATCACTCACTTATGAATATCGAAGATATTCATAAATAGTGATTATTGAGGAAATTTCTCGGAAAAATTACGCGTAATGAATGACGAAGTTTTTTTATATAACATGCTTTTACATAGAAATAATCATATTCTATCGTTTTTCAATATGATTTGTACGCGCGATAAAGTTAAGAGAATATTACCGTGCTTATAGATCACCTCTATACTTTTATTCTGTACCGTAATTCATGGGGAGAGATTTGCGTCGAATATACGCGTTTGGGATTTCTAAAAATTCTGTACGAGCCGAGAGAGAAAGAAAGAGAGAGAGAGAGAGAGAGAGAGAGAAAATGCGGAATAGCCATGTTTTCTATGACGGTGCAAAATCGAGAAAACAGTGGCGCGTATTTCCGACGCTCTTCCGAAATTACGACGATGCCGCCACGAATCGTGATGCGTGCCGCTGAAACGTATACAGAATCGCGACGTACAGGCGAATTTAATACGTCATGAAAGCATCTAAATTCGCATCGCATCTAAATTCGCATCGCGATGAGAGCCACCTCCTCTCGCGAGTCCCTTTCAGCGAGTTTTTCAGCGACTCTCGCTTTTTGCCGCCGTTGTTCCTTTTTAAACCGTCGCCCAAACTAAATTTCAGCCGCATCACTCTCTGCGCGAATGTGCCCTTTTCATATTTAATAAATTTTTAATTAGCCTCGCAAACTTTACGAATGCAACGGATCTATCATGCAATGTAGCACCGAGTTGCACATGATTAATATATACGTAAAAATGAACGCGCGCTATGTTTAAGCCCTTCGATGTACACATCCCGCCTATTGCAATTTATTGTATACGATGCGTTCAAGTCATGCGTAATTTTATGATCGCAAAATTTAAACAAGATTTCACAGAATTGTTGTACACTTTATGGATAGAGTTTTATCTTGTGCAAAATATCGGATATAGGAATTTCATAAAATTATCCTGGTCCTATGTAATAAAGAATTAAATAGGAATACCAGGAATGAGTAAGACAGCAAAATTGCACGTTTTACGGTGGGAGCTCGCTGCCGTTATACGATATATGCCGTTGGGAAAGAGCGTACATTTTGCAAATATACTTATCCGGCTTATAATTTATGCTCCGCAATATTTTTCGGCTGTGTAACTCTCGGCCGCTGCTGCATCGCGAGTAATACGCGCGGCTGTTTAGTAGCTGGATATACGGAGACGCGAACACGCAAAACCCGCCGGTTAAATGCATATCATGGTTGAAAAAAAAAAAAATCTTTAATACCGGCATATATCCAGAGATACGGCAACGCGTGTCGCATTCGAGCTCTACGACGAGGCGACGATCTGGCTTGCGTTTTACGTACTACCGTAAATATCATTAATTACTGCGTAATTCAGCCTTATCGGTGATTACGCATAAATCTTGCCCGATCGCCACTAAATTATGCGCCTTAATCAAATTAAATAAGGCTTAAACTCTCAATATATTTCTCCAATGTGTACTTTATATACGCATCGAAACGTATCGCCGTTAGCTGGATAAAAGAGGTAGCGTGTATGTAACGTCAATAATGTGAATAAATGACAAAAATTTTTCCAATTGACCGAACATTTAAATTTGTTAAAATTTGAAACGATATATGTTCGTAGATTGTAGATTCCGGCGCGGATAACTTGCAAGAAGCGGAATTTTGAACCAGTTCCGTGGTGACATCTACATGACGTGTCTGTTAAATCTCTATATATATCTCTGAGAAGATAAGATGGATCACTGACTTACCATTACCATTGTGCGCAGATGTTTTACATAAATGTATTTCGCTTTCCAACTTTTTATCTCATACACAGAAAATATTTATTTTACATTTTAAAATGCAACAAAAAAATAAAATTTTATGCTCTTTATTTAATGATTATTACATAAATATCATTGCCACGCATAAACAATTGCGACGTGTGCAATATGTTAGGAATTTACAAGTCTTCTTTGCCTTCTCTTGAACACGCGTCGTTTTGATGGTTTCCGATTTGTTAAATTACGATAACAATATGCTTTTAATTCCCGAATTTGTTCTTCTAAATTGGATAATATAGGAATCAAATTCGTATCGCCAATCTCTACGCTTCTGTCCATTGAGCTAAAAAATAATACGGTATATTAGATATGTTATCATATTTTCTTGATGCTATAAATATGAAATAATGTATTTCACATAAACTTATTACCTATCGTTTTTGAAAGACGTCTTGGTGGCTAATACAAATAAAGCTTCTATTAGGTTGGTGGGAATCTTAGGCGGCGCCTCCTTCTCAAAGTAAGTCATATAATTAAAATAATTTTCACGAGGATATAATATAATTTTCGTGGGAATTTCGCGTCTCGATTGAAGCAATATTCGTATGCGACGAGGTATCCATTTGCTGCGAAAAATTCGATGTGACAATACTCTCTCTAAATGTGCGACAAATTCCGCTTGTTTCAATAATCGACGTATATGGCCCTGTGCAACAATATTAATTTTGATGCTGATTAATCCTGACTAATTTGCATATTTCTAGTCTAGTGTAAATAGCTATAGTTTTCGACAATTGATTCTATTTATTTTGAATAGAGAAATTATAAGATTCTAGTTTCATTTTTGATACAAGTGTATGCATATATATATATATATATATATATATATATATATATATATATATATTGTACCTCTTTTTCGAGATCTTGAATATCATTGACCGCCAGACCAATCATGAGGTTCATTAAGACGATACTAGCGAGCATGATGAAGATGAAGAATACGATTCTGCTTGTAACTGGCAGAAAAGTAATTTCGCTATCAATACTCGTATCGTTCTTCTCCATGTTGAACAGTTCCTTGTACTCATATTCGCCCATCATCATTACTATAGTCTTTACAATGGCATTTCCGAAATGATGAAATTGATTATTTCCGTGAAATAAAACGGCAAAACTCAACGCAAATCCGATAATCAAGTAGCCAAATGCCAAAAGAACCTAAAAAAGAATAAAAAGCTCCGGATGCATTTTGTTGTAGCGAGATAAGATAAGAAGATTGTGATATCATTGATGTGGTTTCTTATGCAATTTAAAAAAAATGACTGACTTTTAGGAGATTTTTCAACACTGTAGAAAACATGAGTGCATAATATCCCCACATTGGAACTCGTCCAATTAATAGCATCATTTGCATCCAACTCAACAAGAGTGCGATACTGATGGGATGTAGCAACCACTGCACGCAATATTGTGAATCATTTTCTTCCTGTGAGCACATCACAAACTCGCCCGCTATCGACGTCACTAGGGATAGCATGACGCAGATGAATGATAACCATGTTTCTAGTTGTCTCAGATAATGCCTGAAATTTTTGAAAATATATGTTAACTACATAAATCAATTAAAAAGTTGGGAGTTTTATTATTTTAAATAAATTTACCTGGGTTCTAATATAACTTGAATTGTATTGTGAAATAAAAGAATGCAGGAACAAAGAGTTAAAATTCTTCGAGTTATCACATGATCAGTGTTATCACGTACAAGCATTATAGCATAGACCGAAAGAGAAATAACGAAGAACAAGTGCACGAACATAAGAACAAAGAAGAGTATCCTTAATCTCGTCCATTTAAGTCTGAGAAATGTCTCCACAAGTGGATGCTGTAATATTGCCAGTTGTGTTATGTCCGAAGATGCGGCTATAATAGCTGTAACTACTGACATTTGCATTTGGCACTTTGGAGTCAGTATACCAAAATCGACAGTGATCTTTAATACAGACGTTTCATTCGTTAGAGTTCAATAAGGGCAATGTAATATAATAAAAGAGAATAAAATATTCGCATGTGAAAGTCTAACAAAAAAAAAAACAAAACTATTCTTACGTTTTCATAAGACCCTTTTGTAGAACTTGTCGTTTGTACACAAGAATTCAAAATATCGGTTAAAAATGCCAATGGTTGTGAAATATGAGCGAATATAGCATCAACGACAGTAATGCCAGTTTCTGTCACTGCAGCTAGATTAGCTTCATAATTAATCAAAGCTCGTATGCATTCGCGATGACCATTGTAAGACGCTCTATGAAGAGCCGTACGATTGACCTAAATGAATAAAAATAGTATATAATTTTGTCGTTGTACTCGTTATCTTCAAATGTAGCTTCAAAATGAATAGCATTTAATATGATTAACCTGATCAGGCGTGTCAATATCACAAGATGGTATTGCTTCAAGTAGCACCATTAGTGTCTCGATGTTTCCTATGCTCGCGGCGATATGAAGAGGTGTGCTCTCCGCTTGCTTTTTGGAGTTCTTACATGTTTGCATTGGCTTTGCACCATTTGACAATAATATTTGTGTCGCTTGTGCACTGCCTAGTTTCGCCGCATGATGCAAAGCAGTGGTACCTAACAGAGTTGAGCAAAATATATATTTATATTTATCTACAAATATGACAAATATAGATAGATATCGTATTTTTAAGAGGTCTTTTTACAACGACAAGTTTGTACTCGGATATAAATTGTGACGGTAAATAATAATAAATAATAAATTGTGATGACGTAATATGGTTCTATTGTAATGCTCGCTTGACTAATACCCGTCTCCGGATGAGCTACATCAACGTCTACTTTCGCGTCGACTAGGATCTTGATGATCTCGACGAACTTAGTCATCTTGTTGAGATCATCACGATTCACCATGCTTCCCGCTAAGAGCAAAGGGGTAATCTGGCCATCATCGTTAGCGTTCACATCCGCACCATTTTTCACCAAAATACGAACGACCTCCGCATGATTATTTTTCACCGCTTCGTGTAACGGCGTTCTCCCATAGCGTTCGGGTAACGGCAACTAAAGCAGAGGGAGAAAGAGGTAATATTTTTTCCGAAAAGAGCGTAATATTTTTTTTTCTTTTATCCGTTTGATAAAAAAATTCAAAAATTATCTCAAGTACAAGTACCTTCCTCCCTATGCCATGGGATCTTGTCAGCGAAGAATTTGACACGTTCCTGCTTGGTGACCTGCTACACGAATGGACACCAGTTTTAACGTTGACGCATGCTCCGCGTTGAAGAAGCCAGTTGGTTACATTAACATCGCCATTATGTGCCGCGTAATAAAGGGCAGATCTACCAATTCTATCCTGGCTGTTTACATCAGCACCTCTGTCATGAAGTTGGTTCAACAAATCTATGTTTCCCTGCCACGCAGCCACCTGAAGGGCTGTCACTTGAAGAGCACCCACCGGATGTACATATTCATTTATATTGTCGCGCATCAAAATTCTATTCACGTTATCAAACTCTCCGTTCTCAATCGCCAATATGAACGCGTGATACGGATTGCATTCTTGCGCGATCTGTCCGTTTCTTTGTGTCAACGACATGGCTTGAACGATTCTATGATTCTCTCTCGATGCCAGCGTAAAACTGACGCACAAATTAATTAACGAGCTCTAATCATATCGTTAACCGGATGTGGCCGATGCAAGGGATGTGGTTCTTTACATCGTCATAATTTTATTTTGACATATTAAATCATATTAAATTATAATGCGTTCCGCAGCTTGTAAATAATCCATAATTGACACATTATTAGACTTGGACTTTTTATGTTTTCTGCTTACATATGCTATCGGATAAATTATGCTATCGGAAAAATTGCGTATTCTATTAGCGCGTCGGTATTAGCGTACGTATTACGAAAAGTAAAAATTGCAGTTAAATTTTTGAACGATAACGAATAACTCCCGAATATTTGTATAGCCTCGTTAAAATAAATTCCAAAATTTACAGCGGCATTTCCTACATCGCCCTCTGGCTACGCTCTGATGCCGCACGGCGTAGCTCCCCGACCCAAATTCCGATAATTAATTAATTTCGTGGGTATTGCGTTGCAGTTTTATGAGTAAATACCTTCGGAGCGAGTGCATTCCGTCGCTCGATACTTCGAACAGCCCTGTTATTCGCGGATAAACAAACTGATAGATATGGATACTCGTCTGGAGCCACACATCTCTCATTGCATCTCGTACAGTTTTGATAACGAATTTGTTCAACAATAGCTAACGGGATTGCTCCAGCGTGTGTGCCTAAAGAAAGTAAACGGACGCATCGAAGCCGACGAAGCCGACCTCGAGCGCGTCCGTTACTACACTCGGGAATCTCGTCTGTACGACGTGACAAGCTGTCCTGATTTCTCCACGCTCTCTTTTATCTATTTGCGCATTTTTCTTCGTTAGAATTTAGAGTCTCGACTCCTCTCGACAATAAATATTTATGGTCAAAGCTATCGTGTGTGCGAACACACATTTCGATGTTTTTTTTTTATCTAAACTTATTTCTTTAGTTAAAAAAAATTCCATTCCGGACGAAGGGAAACCGCGAGACCGTCTCGTCTACGTGTATACGGACACACGCGTGGAATTGCATAACGACGAGCAGGTAACGCTCGCCCGGCGCTTAAACACGCGGCCATGGCCGGGCGGCTCTCGGCGTGTACTCCGCGTGCAGCCGTTAGCCTTAACACACGTTCACACGCTCAATCAACTGAGGAGAGCGTTGCGTTACCTTGCCGGCCTCTCAGGGCCAGTACGCGTCTGGCCACGCCGCCGAGAGCATCCTTCCGTTCAGTCACACGCACAATCTCGTTGGGTTGGTTAGAAGCCGGTTCTTCACGACCGATCGCGAGATGCCGAATTGTCCGAAATGCGACAAGCCCGTGTACTTCGGTAAGACAACTAGTAACTTCGACATTATTGTTGCAAAGCGTTAAGCGTCACTTTGAATACAATTTAGATTTAGAATTTATGTAGCTTTCGATGCTGTCGCCGTGAAGAATTGTGTACTTTGTGTCGAGTTGTCGCGAACAAAGGTCATTCCACACGTTTACGGCGCCGAAAGCTGAATTCGCCGAAATGAAATGTAAACCTTAGTTCACATACATTTTATATATATTGGTTTCTACATTCGGATTATTCCCTTATGTATTTCGTGTGTGGAACGATAAGTGGAAAATGTTGAAAGAGGCATGATTTTATTACTCACTATTTTTCACAATGGATATTGCCGTTTCATAAACGCGATTACGTAATAAGTTATTCATATGTATTGTATCGATCATTTATATGCCACAGCGAAGACAAGAGGTTATTGAGTATCTCATACGTGATAATCACCATCCACTTGATAAGCTATATCCGTCACTTGAAGAAAATTTGAAACGATTAAAGTATGCGCGTGTAATACATTTTATATACAATTTACAACTGAAGCTATTAAAATTAGCTAAATCATATATTCTTATATTATCACTTGTGTCTTCCCGGAAGAGACAGTAGGAGTCACGTTTGATAACCGAAACATAATATTGCGAAACATCAATGCCATAACTTTTGTATTCTATCTACATTTTACTTTCATCTTTCAAAAATATTAAATTATGATAAAATTAATATGATATTCTCTCTCTCTCTCTCTC